ACAGAATCATAAATTCTATACATTAAAGGTAATTTTCTCTCTTGAGTTTCTTTTAGTAAATTATATGTAAACTCATAGTATCATATTCCATTGTAATGCACTTGAAATCCAACATATATTTACAACGACAATTCGTTACTACTTCAATACAAATATGTAAACATTGGATGAACTAAAGAATATACAATATATGAACCTCGTGCAATTCTAGAATAAAAATATATTGATCTGAAGATAGTTCCTTAACATAATATGATATTCATGAAAAAGTACTAAATAAAGATAAATAATAGAAGCTAATAAATGGGTTCGAATGACTTCAATATGTCATATCTATAGAGTACATTCATGCTCCCTTCAAATCTGTCGCTAGGTCGATGAGGTTAGGATACATACCAATTCTACATAAGGCTAGACAAAACTCTCAAATTGAATCGAACCCGAACCGAATCGAACCAAATCGAGCGATTCTTCTTAAATTAAATACCCAAATGAGTATGTGAGTCAAAAATCAATGAATTTGGTTCGGTTCTCGATTCTAAACCTAGAACTGAATAATAATTGAATTTCCTTAATTTTTTATATTAAATAAATCAAATTATTTTAATTTTTTATAATAGATTTGCCAACTAAGTAATGAGCCCAAAAATATAATTTTCCTATTTTATTTGCCAACTAATTAATTAACACAAACCCAAAATATGATTTCCTTATTTCACACACAAATCATACCACCCAGATTGCAAGAGATCGCTCATTGCCACTCGCAATCGCTCGACAATGTTCAACTATGTTGGAGATCTCTCACCACAACCTTAACATCGACATGTTTAACAAAGTGCACAAATTTTGGAGGTGGGGTCTGGCCACAAAAGAAACTACCAAGCTGCAATGACGGCCATTTAAGGTGTAAGTATAGATCTTGTGAATTGATCCACCACTTGATGTGAGAACGGAAGGCGATGATTTTTGTGAAACATGGTCGGAGTTGGTGGATATCGCTGAATAGATTGTGTGGTAGATAGAGATTAGAGTGAAAAAGAGTGTCACATATATTTGGTGTGGGCGTGTGGGGTGGCGTGGGGTGCAAGAGAAATTTTATACCTAGGGCCTGTTTGGGCCCGATTTTTTCACCAAAAAAATTGATTTTTTGATCGTTATTTCACTATTCAAGCCATCATATTTGACTTCTTCTCTTACAGGTGGACCTCACTTTTCTCTTAACGGTCAAAAAATCAATTCTCAAAATTACTACTAAGCAGGTTCCTAGTTATTGAAATGAAAAGCTAAAAACAGGTATTTGTGTGAATTCCTCTTTTCCCATTCAAGTTTTATAGTTTTGAACCAAGTTAGAGAAGCCCATCCATTGGGCTGTCAACTTGCCAGTCCAAACCCAGCACTACAAAATTATGGGAAATTTCGTATTTACATCATTACGAAATAAAAATTCAGGTAATACCATGTCCTTGTTTGAGCCACATTATTTTCATAAAAATAAATTTTTGAATAGTGTAATGATGGAAAATGTGTGATTAAAAAATAAGAAAAAATAAATTTGCGTATAATATTATTTTATTGAAGAATATATTGTTGAAATGAAATCAAATAACTATTTAAGAATATATTTTTTTTCTAAATAATGTAGATCAAACAAGGCCTATATTACGTTTATAATTCAGAAAATACTATCTAAATTGGTAAATAATTTAACAAATACTACAAATTTAGATTTCAAACAATGGTGTAACTGACATTTTTTTCAAATCATCCTAACATTAAGCCTATCAATTAATTACTTTCCAAAATCAATGCAAATTTCATAATTCATAATGGACAAAAAGGTACCCAAATTCGTCTCTGCCCAGAATCAAAATCTGGTTTCTTTCTTCTTCAATATCAATCCATAAAACATTAAACATTGTTGCAAAAACATATATTATCAAATTGAAACTTCCAGATTACAAGCAAATGTTACTGGAATTTTTATGTGATTTAAATATATAATTCAGTTCGATTTTTAGATTCTTCAACTCCAATTCGTCATATGAAGTGTGGCTTCACAATTTATACACAATATTCTCAATTTGTGTTGACATGATTGAAAATATATGGTGGTGTGTATGTATCTGATATTAAAATTGTAATTGGATTTTCTTAGAGCCCTTTGTCCGACTGTGCGTATAATTTAAAAAATAATTAAGATCTAAATCTTTCCATATTCCAACTTTGGGTATTCTTTATGTTACACCAATTCAAAATTACATAATGTTGATTGTGTTGAATAGGGCTAATTGTAGTAAAGGACGTATTTGATGGAGTAAAATCAGCCCATAATTAATTATCATAAATGAGTTTAGTGATATTCTACTTTTCTTTTTTACTACAATTTTAAAGTAATTTTGGAAAAAAATTATTACATAGTAAAATTTCAAATTTTATTAAATTGTATGTAAGAGGCGTAATTGCCACAAAAATTATTGAGATTGCTCCATCATTTGTCAAGTCAAATTCAATTTTTTCTCGAAATTTTATTAAACATATAGTTAATCTCTCCTCTTAAAAGAGAGAATCCTAGATTTACTAATCATTTTTGTTTCATTTGTTCTCACATTTGACCTCTTTTGATAATTAGAAAGAAATTGAAAGAGCTTTAAAAATAATAATAATAAAATAAAAAATAAAAAATAAATTTAATGTAGTATTAAAAATAAAAATAAAATTTTGTTCTTTGGACTGTTTGTATCCAGTTTTATTATCGAACATACATTTAATACTAACAACTCATTGTTATCATGCATCAAATGACTTGGTTTTAGAGGTACCAAAATGTTCTCACTGCTTAGGTTTGGTGTGTCACGGGCCTAGTTTCGTTACACCCGAACTATTCTAGAACCGTGCAGTCTGAACACTCCACAACTCTCCTCTTCACGAAATAGCGTTAAGTCAGCCTTAAACCTCAACAATAATTTAACTAGTGAGGCTAAATTATATGTTAACTTTGTAAGAGATGGTAGATAGAAAATTTATGAGAAAAAAGCACACACATATATGTGGAGAAATTCCTTTGTATTAATATAAGAGAAAACTATTTACGAACTCTCTACAAAGATATCATTCTATCTCACTTAACTCTCATTCCATCCATGGGAATTTTCTCTCAACTCTCTATTTTTCCCTCTACTCATTCATTCAATTCATTCGTATGAATTACAAATAACCAAGTCCCTCTATTCATAGGCAAACTCATGCTATGCAAGTTGGCATCAATGACTAGGATTAATTTTGATCCAAGGGCTCTTATTTGTTGCAAGTTGTCTTACTCCTTTGATCTTAAGGTCGCCAAGTTGAAATTGACTACCTTGCAAGTGAAATGTCTCTACACTTGCAAGTTGCATTGCTGCATTGTATCTTGTTCATTTCCAACTCTATGTTGGTATGTCACTTTCCATGCAAGTGAATCTCTACAACTCATGTGTGCAAATGGACATGTCTCCATCAAAGTGGCCAAGTTAAACTTTGCTTCCTCAAGCAAGTTGTCAAATGGCATGTTGGCCTCTTTTTGCAAGTTATCCAATTGGCTCAAGTTGACACTCATTGTATTCAAAATAATCGGCCATAATCCACGGAATTGCTTCCCCCTCATGGTAGTAATTTTCACCTGAGAAAACTAGATTTCTGTCCCTGCGACCCAGCCTATGATTGCCTACACAGTCTACCTGTGTTGCTGTTGCATCCCCTGCCGCAATTTACCCGCATTGCTGTCGCGTCTCCTACTACAATGCTTGCAATCTGGCTGAGTTTACCTGTCTATGTCTTCTTGTCGCAGTTCCTGTCTTGGTCCTACCTGCGTTCCCTGCCACAATGCTTGCAATCTGGCTGAGTTTACCTGTCTGTGTCTTCCTGTTGCAGTTCCTATCTTGGTCCTACCTGCGTCCCTTGCCACAGGTTCCTATGTTGTTTTACCTGCATCCCCTAATGTAGATTCGGCCTACATCTCTTAACGGTGCCTGTTTTTTTTCTACCTGCATCCCCTACCGCAGGTACTTCCGTCCAGCCGTAACATACTGCCTGCATTATCCGAATTCCCCAACCACAACCTGGATATATCAACCACGACCATGGGAGACTTAAGTCACTCCTCCACTAAATTTGGCAATGCCTTCATCGCCAGGTACCGCGGAAGTTTAGACCTTATTTGCCATAAGTCTACCTTATTTTCTTACTTTGTACCATGACATTCCCGTGTCATGCTAAGCCTCAAATCATCACCTTGTGGTCCATGACATGTGGCTAACATGCTACAACCTAGACCCGAGATAGACTGCATTGTGGACTGGCTAGATCTAAAAGCCGAGCTGGGTTATATGAGCTAAAAACCTTAACTAGTTTACAACTCAACTCAAATCTCCCACACCAGAATACTTTTCTTGTGATTAATTTGCCCTTCTTTCCTTCATTAAAAAGTTTTGGCTATCCTAACTTGTTTAAAGAAAATGTGAGCTAACTAGTTACGACTTTGAAGAATTGGAGATTGAAAATTAATTTGGAGACCTACAACGACAACTCAAATATATATACAAAAACACAATCCGTAGCAAAGAACGCGTCTTGTTAGACATTATGTGTGTAACCAATCAACATCAATGATTTCGAACAAATCATGTACACACTTTCTAGTGTGCTTTCGTCCGTTTTGTTCGTGCTTTCTGGCTTTTTTAACTCGGGGGTGGGATGCGGTGAGTGTTATTGTGTTAAGATTTTGGGTTCCATCTTAAAAGGTCAAACTTGTTAAAATAAATAGCCAAAAACCTTCTAAATTGATCTATGTTTTTATCTTTAATCGATGAAAGGTTTCATCTTAAAAGGTCGATCCTGTGACTTATATTTTCATCTTTATGTGAAATTTTATCAGTTTACATATTGAATAAGCTTTGACACTTTCTTGTTATCATCCCATGTGGATAGCATGAATTTCTCAGAAGATTCTGCTGGGACAAGGATGTTAAACAGTTAAGATAATATATGTAATGTTAAGAAAGGGTTGTGTTTTAGGACCAGAAATTGTGCCTGAATTTTTGCAGGCCCATGAGAAAAGGATGTCTCCAACATTTTTTTTTCCCCAAAATCACACACAAGCTCCTCCATCAAATTTACCCACTTAGCACTTCTATGTAATTGTAATTATTCATACTTAATTTTCTCTGAACTAACGCGTCTTTACACGTTGAAAAGTATAGATAAAGTAGAAAAATTAGAGAGGAAGTGACAATACCTTATGTTTCACATTTCTCAACAGTTCCATCTGATGATAGAGACGTTACAAAGAAAAAGCAGGGTTAGGGAGATGACTTCAGAAGAGTTGGTTTTGACATTTCCTCGTTACCCACTTAAAGAATATGTACTGTTATATAATATCAACTCAAAATAATCACTTAAAAAAGTGAATTCAAGAAACCGCTTTCAGCTTAATTTTCGTGGCAAATTCAAGTGGCTCCAACTCCAAGAAAGTCTATAAATGGCGGTGCAATGGTCTCACCGTTTCTTTCCATTGTTGATGATGATGCAGTATATTCAGTGACTGAAACTTGATGTGCTGATGCTGTGAAATCTGAAGGGTAGTGATAGTTTCTCTGTTGCATTGCAGTCACTAGGGAGCTTGGGTAATGAGGATAAGAATGTAAAAAGTTGGATTCAACCTTTGGATCATCCCAAGATTTTCCCTGGTCGCAAATTGGCATCGCCTCACTTGTAATGGGACCTGTGTAAAACAAACACACAATATATGAAGTGACATTTTATACACAGTACTAAACAAGACTAGACTAGACCGTATAAACAAAAATTTAGCTTGATTGATGTAAAAATTAAAGTGAACTCAGGCACAGAAATCTGTATGTAGAAACTGCAGATAAGTAAAAAACCTATAGGCGGACGGGAAGTATTAGGCAGCAGGCGAGGGAAGAGACCAAGAGAAGTTTGTGATGCCCAGAATCCACTGTAAGGAGGAGGGATACCGTACATCTGGCTAGAAGTTGCTCCCCCACCACCACTAGCATCGCCGCCATTTCGAGTCGAAAACTCGCAAGCAGCAGTTAGATCACTGAAAGTTGCATAAGATGGCAATGTTGGTTTAGTTTTGCTGGCCGCATCTGCATTGCAAAGGGGAATATCATCTTCTTCCATTGATCTTTTGCATACAAATTGGCCCATTTTTCTCCTTCGAAAAGCACTGGATTGTTCTCTATACTTTCTAGCCATAATAACATGCCAATGATTCTTGACTGCATTGTCTGTTCTTCCAGGAAAAAGCCTTGCTATCAATGACCATTTGTTGCCATACAGTCTATGAGCAGCCATTAGTCTCTCTTCCTCTTCTTCAGTAAATGCCCTTCTGTTTATCCTTGGATCCAACTGGTTAAACCATCTTAACCTGCAGCTTTTCCCTTCACAGTTCCACGTAATACAGCAAAAAAGTTATGATATGAAAAAACAGTCATTGAAAATTCTTGAGCAGCAACAACAAACTAGAAGAAATATTGCACACAGAGAGTAGGACAATAAATAGCGTTTTTCCTCAAATTCTTACCTGATCTTCCTTCCAGCTTCTCTGCAATGAGGTTCCAATTTTGAGGGCCATAAAGAGCAACAAGTTCCTTGAGACGTGCGTCTTCTGCAGGCCTCCAGTGTCCTCTAGCACACAGTTTTGACTGCCCAGTATTTGAGTCCTTCCCGCTGCTAAATGCATGCATGTTCATCTCATCTTCTTCATTTAAGCTAGCATTTAGATCAATGGATTCATTATTTTCTCCAAACCCGTCACTTGAATCAGAGGTTTTACCCCAAAAATTATTATGTCTCCCTTCATCCATATCAGTATCACAAAAAGAGCCCTCTTGGGAAGAAGATATGTGATTAATGGAAAGATAACAGAAATCTGCAAAAACCATTCCACCATTGACTAGGAATAACCTATAGAACAAGGAGGAGCAGTTGTTTAACAAGTGGAGTTCCTTTTGGGCTGTTTGGTGGTTAAATAATGCATTTATTTGCCATTTTTTCAAAAACAAAAATCTTTTCTGACAAATTGTACACTGTTACAAGGTCATAAGCTTCATCATCAGATGAAAAAGGAATGTATCTAAAGATTTAGGGAAGATGAAAGGTTTAACAGTAAAATGAAAGGAGAAACCGAGTTTCCTCTGTAGGATTATGAAAACTTGGCAGCAAAAAAGTATTTTTAACAGAACCCTCTGCATACTCCTCTTTCTTTAAATAAAAAATAAATAAATAAATGATGAAAGTTGAACATCAACCTTGACAGCCTCTACCGTCCCACTTCTAGAGCTTTGTGAAGGAGTTAAATCACAAGATGTGTTCCTATAGGTCAGAGAACAAGAATTGTCTGTACACTGCGCTTATAAGAAATATAATTCCATATTTCAGAAATCGAACTCCCACACTACGACTACAACAAGACGTGAAAGAACCTCACATTTCAACGTGAGATAACCTCACGTTTCAGGCGTGAGATACTCCTCTTTCTCTCACCGTTTGGAGAGTGTGTTTCAGTGTAAAAATTTATAATTCTCCCTGATCTAGACTAGATAGATAATTACCCCACATTTCAGTGTCGAGACTTTTCTATTTTTCCATTTTAGGGACAACTAACCTTTTCTTTTTAGTTTGATTACTTTATTTGCTTAATGATAGACTTTAATCGTATGCTTAAAATTAATAATTTTTTTAACTTTTTTTCTTAAGTAAGTTTGTACTCTCTGGAAAAACATAAATTTCAAAGAAAATGGTATAACATTGTAGCAAAGCAACCACACTCTTAGCCCTTGTTTGAGCCCTATTTTTTTGGGAAGAATGAATTTTTGAATAGTGTATTGATGGGAAATGTGTGGTTAAAAAATAAGGAAACGTTTTAGATTTACGTGTAATATTATTTTATTGAAAAATGTGTGATTGAAATGATGTCAAAACACTGTCGAAAAATGAATTTTTTCAAAAGAATGAAGCTTAGATAAGGGCTTAATTTCGAGTTTAGCTGCTTTTAATTTACAGAATTCATGTTATTAGACATTTGAAAGGAGGAATGAAAATGACTTGCACAGGCATTGAAAAATGTCATCTTTGATTTTAAATTTAATTTTAATCTTTCATTTTTTTAAAATTTTCAATCATCTTTACAAAATATGTCAACAATAAAATGAAAGTCAATAGGCAATAAATTACACAAACTTTTATTGAATGTTAGATTTGAAATTGCTAAAACAAAAATGTAAATACATTAGTCACTGTAAACGACAATCAGAACCAAACATATCAAAATAAAAAATAGCTATGTTGGAGGTCTAATTTCACGTCCCTTCCAAACTTTACGTGATTTCAAGATTATTTCTTGAAAAATTGATAAGAGTATGGTCTCATATCAAAAAAATGGGGATTCATTCATAGAAATTCACCCACCAAATTTACTCCTTAATTTCAACAAATAAGCAAGAATTTGATGTATTTTTTACTTTTTACCCTTCAAGAACTTCCGAAAAATATGTCCTAGCTGCCCTATGCTTCTTTAACAAAAATTCACAATCAACATTCAATAAGAAGGGGCGTGTAGTCCTCCACACCATAATGGTAAACTGTAAATGAATTAAACTAATCAAATAGGAAAATTTAATAGGTAATAATGTAATATTGATGAAACTGATGTGGTGAACTGGGATTCGATTGCTATTTTTTAAAAATTTATCTTTCAATGAATAAATATCAAGTCTTGTTTGTCAACATTTTCTATCAAATTTCCTTGTTAGAGTAGCATGATTGACTATAAATAGTGTTGGATCGAATTAGACAATCCTATAAACAAGATCTTATTTTCTTTTTCTTATTTAACAGATTTAATCATGTTCACTTGTGTGTATCAAACGTGTGCATACGAATATATTTTTCTCTCTTTAACCTCTATCTATCCATCCCTACTGAAAGTAGGGTTTGAAGTTTTAGGCTGTCTCTCTCAACAATGACAAGAAAGACTCCAACGTGATGTCTGATGCTTGCTCGAGTTTGTACAGATTATGGACACCAATCTTATCAAATTGACCCACCAAACTTGTCAAATGGAAGTAAATGGCTTTGCCCACCAATCACATCAATCTGTGATGTGAATTTTAACTTATAATGACAGTATTACAATAAAACTCACAGGATAGAGTATTTCATCGACCAGTTTGGTTTTGTTATCTCTTTTCATTTAAATTTGCACTAAATTGTACGATCTCAAACTAATCGTATATTTTGCTGGTAAAAATGTCTTTTTTATCCGTAAACTAATGAACACAGTTAAGACAAATAGAAGTGTGATCTAAAAATTCGGTCCCTCTAGTATATTTTTTTTGCCAAATTCTTAATATTTCTTATTGTTTTTTTTTTTTTATAAATTGATGCTACTTAATAATAAATATAGGTATATATCTATTTGATATTCAAAATGAATTATGTGTAATTTCATAATTTTCATTAGAGGTGGTAAAAACTCTTCTATGAACTATTATTAGCAATCTTATGAGTCATTCTGTCAAAATAAGTAAATTTATGTATATTGTTAACCTTGTTTCCTATTAGGACCACGTGGACAATAGATATCAGACCTACCCACACACACGTAAGCTAAGTCCTACACGCTAAGACACAACAATTGTCTGGAACGGCCAAAAAAGGGGCGTAGTAGCAGCTCAAAGACGCGGGATGATAACGTTCGGAATTCGACAATGCAATTGAAGAGCGATTGTACAATAATTACCAATAGTAGGAGATCAATGTTATGTAAACTTAGTTGTATTTGTAAGAGAATGAAATGGAGTGAATTGTTCATGTTAACTGTAATATTGAGTTTTGTATGAAATTTGCATTAGCCTTACAATGGGGATATGGGGAAGTATTTATAGTAGTGCAAGGTGAATTGTGGCCCTCGAATGAGAGTATACGTGATCTCATCTCCACAATCCATACATCTAATCCTAAGCATCACCTTTGACTTGTTAGCCCACTTTACATTTATTAAGTGACAAAATCGCTACTTTGTTTTATAAGACTTGACACTCAAACTCTATGATAGATGTCACATCAATCATTCGAAAAAGATACTTGTAAAGGAGCAGATCTCTTGAAGGGAGTGATAGTGAAGGCGCCTTAGAAGCCATAGCCTCGGTTCATCGGCCTCGAAGTGACCCGCCTCAGCCAATGCACTTTGAATTTGGAAATGTCGAGCCTCGGTTGAAGCATTGACCTTGGTTGATTGGTACAGGCCTAGGGGCTTTGATCAACATGCCACATGCTTCGACTTAGGTGAGCCAAGGGCCATAATGGGTCGGCCGCGTGGAGCCACTTGTGACGAGACGTAACATATATTAATTTAAATACGCTAATATTTTTACCATTAAATAATTTAAATTTATAGACAATATAATTCAGTGTCCTCGTTTTTCAATTTTGCTATTAATAATTGTTAGTAATATTTGTGAGAGTAGGTTTACTAGGATTGATTAGTTTACAATTAAGTCTTGCAGCACCAAATTGATTGCGCGGATTATGCCATATGTTAAACATCAAGATTATCATATATAATACCTTTAAAAGGAGAAAAAAAAAATTAACTATGAAAGAAATAATAGAAGAAATTAAAAGATTGAGAAGTTCAGTTCAATCGATTGAACAAACCCATAAACTTAGCTTGTCGGGACATGTTAACATTAAAGAAAAAAAAAATTTACTTTGTACCATTCACATGTACCAATTTAAAATGTTAACCACATGCAACAAAACCAAAGGAAAAGTAGTGGTAGCCCCTCAGGGCACATCCGAGTTGGTGGAACAATCACTATGACGGGCTTGCAATCTCAGCGTGGAGAGTTCGATTCCTGATCAACGCGGTGAGGAGGATTCTCTTGGGGTCAGAAGTATAAACCAAGTGGGAACTTGGGAGCCAACAAGGGCATAACTTGCGATTTACCTCCTCAAGTCATTGAGAGGTCGGTGGCTAGAGGTCCAGAATTTAGTTTGACGAAGCTGGGATATCAAAAAAAAAAAAAGAGGAAAAGTAGTGGTAAAAACGATCCGGCAATTTTGGCGCAGTGAGTAGAAGCATAGAAGCCAATGGCAGAAGTTTTCATTTATTAATTGTTGGCAGGCATGTTGTACTACATTAATTTTCAGCATTTTGGTCAATTACTTTGAAATTTGACCCTTTAATGCCACTACCAAATTGGAGTTTGACTCAAAAAATTGGATAAAAAGTTAGAGAATAAAATCTATAATAAGGGAGTTAATCCCGTTTATTCACATGCTTGCAGCCTCCTTGGCCAGTTTTCGACCCCCATCGCATGTTTAGTAAAGTTTATTAGAGTCCTATAAAATCAATTTTTTAGTAAATTTCGATAAAAATTGATTAAATATATGGTTAACAAATCATGAATATTCAGTGAAATTTGTAGTTAAAATTAATAATTCACTTGGCTTGAAAATTTCTAATTTGATTTTAATCTTCATTAAATAGAAGCTAAATCTTATTTATCTACAGCTCGCGTGAACCCGAAAACCATGGTTTTTTATCACTATTTTTTCTTCTTGCCATGGCTATGAAGTCTGCATTTACCACTATTATTGCACATTTGCATTATATTCGAAGTTTAGTTTGCACATGATAAGCTTTTTTTTCGAATCATTCCAATTATTTTGGCCTTTATTCTTGTCCATATTCTCGTATTCATTTTTCCTAGTCCCACATCATTACAGGGCAATCAAAACCTAGGGCACGAGACATTGAAGAATCATCTTTGAAAGATATCATTTCATGTATATAATAACATAATTAGTTGTTATATTTTTATTTTTATTTTTCCTTTGCAAATTTTCCAAAAGTTTGGATTAAACCTTTGCTTAAAACTTTCAAGTTTTATTTGAGTAAGAAAAACTAAGAAAAATCTTCTAAAAGTTTGGAAATGTTTCAAAGCATAATTGTTTATCTATTGTTCAACTAGTAAGATAGGCATTGTCAACCTTGGAAACCAAACCTAATATGATGGTCTGAATATCGATGATGTGAAATATTGTTTTCACAGTAAAAATTGTCAACACAAATAATTTTATTGACAACTCTTCTATCTTGTCAAATAGGGTTCGCCACCTTTATTGACAACATACTCACTATACGGGAGGGTTGGGGGGATTTTTTGCCATTTTTATTCACATGGGCTCC